AGCGGCTGCAGAGAGAGCAGCGCGAGAGGCAGTACCGTGAAGAGGAGCTGCTGCAGGAGGAGGAGCGGCTGCAGAGAGAGCAGCGTGAGAAGAGGCGCCCGGAGCCTGAGAGGCAGTACCTGGAGGAGGAGCTGCAGGAGGAGCGGCTGCAGAGAGAGCAGCGCGAGAAGAGGCGCCAGGAGCGCGAGAGGCAGTACCGCGAAGAGGAGCTGCTGCAGGAGGAGGAGCGGCTGCTGCGGGAGAGGAGGCGCCAGCAGCGGGACCGGCAGTACCTGGAGGAGGAGCTGCGGCGCCAGGATAGAAAGCGGGAGCTCGCAGATGCGGGTCAGAGCCGCGATCTGAAATGGCAGTGGCAACCAGAAGAAGAAAATGATGCTGGTAGTAACAGGGTCTACTCCCCACGCAGAGAGCGTGCAGAAAAGCTCCGGCAGGAGGAAGAGCTCCTGGAGCGGGAGAGGCGATTCCTGCAGGGTGGGCGGGAAGAGGCGAGAGAGCAAGAGAGAGGCTGGCAGCGACGCGACAAGCAATCCCCAGCCGAACCGCTGCTGGAGCAAGAATTGCAGAGGGAAGCCGAACGTCGAGACGGGAAGTTCCGAGAGGAAGAGCAGCTACTGAGAGAAGAGAGAGAAGAGAAAAGACGCCGCCAGGAGCGCGACCGTACGTTCCTAGAAGAGGAACAGCAGCTGCGCCGGCAAGAGCGCGAGCAACTGCTCCGCGAGGAGCAGCAGCTCCGCCAGGAACGCGGAGACCAGCAGCTGCGCCGCCAGGAGCGCGACCGGAGGTTCCTCGAGGAGGAACAACTCCATGAAGAAAGGGAGGAACAACTGCTGCGTCGCCAGGAGCGCGACCGAGAGTTCCTTGAAAGGGAACAGCACCTGCAGCGAGAGCAGGACGGGCTGAGGCGTCCGCAGGAGCGTGAGCAGCGATACCGTGCGGAGGAGCAGTTTGCTGGCGAGGAGAAAAGGCGTGGGCAGGAACGCGAGAGGAAATTCCGCGAAGAACAGGAGGAGGAGCAGAGGCGCCGAGGAGAACGCAACCTGCAGCAGAGCCGCGGTCAAGCCCGGGAGACACGGTCCCAGGAAGACGAGGCCCGCAGGCAGCTTCTGGAACCCGGCACGCGTCAGTTCGCCAGGGTCCCGGTGCGCTCCAGCCCGCTCTATGAATACATCCAGGAGCAGAGATCGCAATACCGCCCTTGAGAGATGCTGCCAGTATCCCTGCCAAAGCCTCCTGCAAAGCAAAATTAGAAACACCGGGTATCAAATGACTCACATGTTTTCTGGTTGTGGGAAACCTCTGATGTTAGAATGCCTTTTTTCCAGATTCTTAAACTATATCCACTTCGTGTACTTTGTACTCCTGCCTTTTCTTTTTCCTCAAGTAGTTCTCTACTGCAGGATGTCTTTGTCCTTTGGTGCGGATGTGGTGTGCATTCAAAGAAAATTCATTAAAAAAATAAATCATTACATTTGTTTAAAGAGTTTTGCTTGAGGAACATAATTCATTCGTTGCGGCCAAAAGTAGTAAGAATCATGAGGACTTGAAAGTCAAAACAATTGAGGCTTTTTTGGTTGGTCCATCTTTGGGGAATTCAGGTATTTTTAATGTTCAGGTTGGGATTTCTTCTTGGGTCTAAATTACATGAACATTGGCCTCCAGATAGCTCCTCCTCTCTTGTTATTTAATTGACACAGACTCTGTGAGGTAACTGAATTTTTTACAACCTTTGAACAGTATAGAGAGAGAGACTTCTACAGGAAAATCCCCTGTGAAATCAGTGCATAGCGAACAAATACCTGATAAAAACCAAGTGTCACTTGAAGGATTAGAATTTGAGTTACATTTTAAATATCCTTCATATTCTAAAAATATGAAGTGTTTTTAATCACCTCTGGTGCTCAAAATTTTTAAATTTACCTGTAAAATTTTAAAAATTGTTGTAATCTGCAGTACTCAGTTCTCCTCCCCCAGTGTCTGGTGTTTTGGGGAATATTACTATCTTCCCTAATCGCACTGAGCAGAAACCTGTTCAGTATCCTGCAAACATCTATCTTGCTCTAGGGCCAATAAGATATCATAGCATTTGGGGGGAGGAAATGAAAATTTCCTAGAGGCCATTTGACAATCCACAATCCCTTAAGGCCTGTTGATACTACCTTGGAGACATTCTTGTTGAAATCATTGGACTATCTAAAATATTAATAAATTTTTGGCAAAATTTTTTTGCCTGTTTTAATTATGCTCCGAGCCATATCCCAAGGTCTAATGGTCTAAGAAGTGATAACAGTTCCCACCCAGTCACTTAAGAGTATTTAGTTACTATTTTCCATGTCTATATATGAAAAGGGAAGAAAAAGACTTCCATCTTTCCCTGGTAGGGTGAGCCCAATATTAGTTCCATGCTCAAACTATTTTTTATTTACAAGTGTTTCTATTAGAAGGGTGATCCCACACATCCAGTGGTACACCTTCTCAAAATGCAGCCACTTCTTGGGCTCTGATTTTTGGTGAATCAACTGTGCAAAAAATGATCTGAAAGTTCAGCTCAGTATTACAGAAATTGTAGCTGACCTGATGAATTAAGCAACATAATCTGCGAGGTGTCTTAGACAGATGGTACTTAGATGGTACAAAAATCAGATGAAAAGTATCAAATTATCTGAACATCCCTGACCCAAACACTCCTGTGCCACCTACTAAAGTCTATATTCACACTTCATAACTACAAGTAAGTCCAAAAAGACCCTGGTTAATTACATCATTTCTAACCGTGAGAGTCATGGATGAGATGTCCTAAATGATAGACTCTCAACATTTTGGACAACGGGTATAAACAAGAAAGTTAATCTCCTGAAAGTCATTCTGACAGGCAAAAAAAATTTTTCTGCAAGGGGCGAGTTCTCTCACATTAATACAAATAGCAGGTACTCACCCAAGACAGCTGAAAAATCACATCTCATGGAACTGCATCTCTCAAATAATTCCTAACTAAACTGGATTCCCCCTAAAGTAGATGTGCACTTTTCTTTACTTAATAATCTTCACAGAAACCCTGGAAATCCTCACTGATTTTCCCCAGGTTCTTATCAATGGTTACTCACTTCAGAGCCTCAATATAAATGCTAGTCCGAAGCATTCCTGAAATACATGTTCATTAGCTAAGCTATAATTCAACAATAATAATTAAGGTAAAAAGTCATTCAGACCTCTTGTAGCACTTTACAAGATGAGGAAAGAACTCATTTCCAAAGAAGAAAGTATTGTTTCATCACAGTTATAATAACATGTAGCTAAAAAAAATTAAAATGTGTCAGCCAGCCCATGTTCTATGGCTGCTTCTTTTCTTTCTGGGTTTTTTTTTTTTTTTCCTTTTTCTACTTGTTAGCCTGCTGGCAGGATAAGTGCTGGCAGGTCAAATTACTCTTCCACCTGGATAATGTACATGCATGGGCAGAACCTTCAGGCAGTCGGGAAATTGGCCACTTCCCTAATAACTGGAAGCTCTATTAACATCACGTTGGCAGCTGCTGGGGAACAGGGTTGTGGTTTAAATGCTGTGTGAGGGAATATCTAGCTGGCATCCATGTGCTAGACTGAATTCTGTCCCTAAAGGTTCATATGGGCCGTCATTACCTTTGAGTGTAGTCATATTTGGAGATAAAATATTTAAATAGGCAATTAAATAAAATGAGGTCATTGGATGGACCCCAATCCAATATGAAAAGTGTTCCTCTAAGAAGAGGAGATTAAGACAGACACGTGGACAATCATGTGAAGACAAAGAAGACGATGGCCATCTTCAAACCAAGGATAAAGGCCAAGAATAGATACTGAAGACCCCCAGAAGAAACCTGAAATTAAAATTATGCTATATGTCAACTATACAAAAATTTTAAAAAAGGGATCAACCCTACTGACACCTTGATCTTAGACCATCTAGCCTCTTGACTGATAGGAAATTATTATCTATAGGAAAAGCTACTCAACCTATGGTATTTTGCTATAATGGCCCTAAGAAATGAATGTACATAAGGTACAGATAATTTCTGGAAAAACATGTTTGTATCAGGATGATCTCTGTCTTCAACATTTCACATAAGGTCCTGACTACTCAAAGACATTTATTTCTATTATTATTTAATCTGTTGTAGGTCCATGGTACAGTGGGAAGAATGCCACAAGGAATCAGAAACCTGGCTTTTGTATTTGTGAAACAATTGTTTACATGCTATATGCAAAATATTCTATACATAATATAGATAATGAAAGGATAATGAAATAGTCATCCTGGCTTATTCCATCACTTTACTATCTGTGCATTGTCATGCTACTGGAACACTTGAACTTTCTCTTTGAAACTATGAGACTGAAATAACTAACACGAAGGTTATTCCTAGGACTGAATAAATGATATTCTTAATTCTTATATTCAGTCAGTTCAACTGAAACACTCCAAGCAACTCAAATAATCCCTCACCTTAACTTTTATCTTTAGCTACAAGGAAACGGAGAAAAGAAATAACTGATGAAAATAAGCTCAAAACCTAATTCTATCCTTAGAGATCTTTCCTTTCTAGCCAATCAGACATGAATTCCCCTCCATTTGCCTCTTACATTCCTCCACAGAGCTACTTCCTATCATCCTAGGTTTATTCATTGAAGGATAAAACCCTAAACTTAACTTATCCCTATAGACCCAGAGTTTCTAGAACAAAGTAACTATTATTCAGTAAGTGATTTGGGTGTTTATGAAAAAAAAAGTCAGCTGGCTGCCACCTCCTCCTTAATCCAGGTTAAGCCAAGGGGATCAAGAACTTGATCGTAAAATAAAAGTCCTACAAGTACAAGGAAATGCCTCATCATGCTGATGCTCTCAGACCCAGGGCAGAAGGCTGCATGGCTGGCAGTTTCTCAGAAGCCGCTCACAAGTGATGTGTATGCTGAAAATAAAACCATCCATTGAAGTACAGCACCTCAGCAGACCAAATACTCCAGCTTTATAGACCAGGCTTGTCCAAGAGGGGCTCAGAAAGTTCTGGAGCCACTGTGAGAGGGATGATAAGCACTCTATCACAACTAAATGGACCTGAAAGGACAGGGCCAATCCCACAAAGGGAGCTATCAGTACCAGTGTAAGAACCAAGCTGGGGAACATTTGTAACCTTTTTGCACATCAGTGGGGGACACCAATTCGTCACAGTGGAATTAGTGAAATAGAAACATTAAAAGTATGGAGGTACCGGGCCTTCCCTGGTGGTGCAGCGGGTTAAAGCACAGCCCTAAGAAGCTTAAGCCACTTCCACATGAGTTCGATTCCCGCCTGCCCCGGAGGTGACCACATGGTGCGGCAGACCTCTCCTGACCCGCCCACTGCTCCCCTCATCGCTCTGCCTGTTCTGCTCCCCACTCTGTCTCTGGTGAAGCCTCTCACCCTCCGCATCTCTGGCCTGTACCCCAGCTCTGTATGAATAAATAAAAAAATCTTTAAAAAAAGAAAGTATGGAGGTACCTACAAAGATAATGACGGTAGAGATAATTATTACATGAAAGGCACCCTAGTAATTGGAGAGCACCCCAAAAGAGAAGTTCATAGAAAAGGGGGTTGTGGGGTCCCATGGATGATCACACTTAGAGATTGGAAAGCACAATGCAGGGGAGGGTAGACAGAGAGAATGGGAAGGCAAAGAGAGATGGAAGAAGTTAGAGAAGAGTGGAGTACAGGGGATGGGGTGGACGGAAAGGAATACAAGGGAGGAAGATAGAGAGATGGACTGAAAGGAAATGATGGAGATGGATGGAGAAACAATTGAGAGGAGGTTGGAAGGAGGAAAAGGCTGGAGAAGAGCAGGGAGGATAGAGGACATGCAGAGGGTAGCTACAATAAGAAATCCTGTGGTATGGAGAATGAGAAGGTGGTAATAGAGATAACAAAAGAGGATTGAGGATATGCCCGCGAAAGGATAAGGATGGAAGAAATGGATTAAGCAAGAGGGTGTAAGAGGAGTGAGTTCAAGTGTGGCATTTGGGCACTGAACACAGGTGAACTGTGAGTGTCAGCGGTCCTGTGATACTTATAATTTAAATGAAGTGTCAGGTCCACACAAAATATTATGTCCATGAACACCGAATGCAAGTGGATTGGAGAAGGGAGGCTGACAAGTGAGTGCAGGGCAGCCTGAAGGCACAACGGGTGTGCACCTGATCCACCATCTACACCTCTGCTGTCCCCCACATGGAGGCAGAAACCTCCAGGTGATTTAAATTTCATGGGATCCAGAATAAGGACTGACAGGCTCCCTGCCCCATGTGCTGGGAACCCCATTGCTGAGAAGAATGGAAGGCCCCAGTTCCTCCACTTTCTAGTCAATCTGCTTCCTGCCCCTAGACTGTCAGCTGAGACTCTTGTCTTGCAGTGACCGGCTCTGCTGGACTCACTGCCCATCTCATCTCGTGCAT